CTAGTCCAATCACACAAGGTTTCACGAATTAGCCATAAGAAAGCTTCAGTAGCACAATTCACACTACTTAATAAAACATGTTAGTAATTAATAGTATTGCTTCGAATAGGAGGACACTCAGGCGCAACCAAAATAATAATAATAATAATAATAATGGATGTCCCTAGCGGCAGTTCACAGTCCACACCAAAACTGAGAGCACTGAATTGAAGTTCTTCATGAAAACAACTACATCCAACTACATTTCATACTTTACAAACATTATTCTGCCTCGAACCTAATTTCTGGTAGCAGAGAAATCGTCGACTTAATTTAACCATAACCCACAATTTTCCGAGATGAAAATGCAATAAAAAAATGAAAATAAGCTCAATTCATACCACATGCTGCCTCTATACTTCAATGTATAAGGTCCACTCTCCAGCGGGCGATCAAAATGATTATGCACTTTACCGTTGCCTTTCCCACTCTGGTCGACCAGAGTCAACTTGAACAAAGCCCTAACGTCAGTTCCTTCGCTCGCCAAGGCTATAAAAACCGAAATGTACATGGAATTGTCCTCTGGCTTCTTCCCATCAGGGTAGAAATAAATTGCCCAAACGTAGCCACCAACACTAAATGTGTCGCTCATTATATACCTCCCAGCACCCATCCCTTTGGCCAAAGAATACCCCTTTATGATAAATTGGTGATACCCATCAACAGTCTCGCTGATTGACCGTGAGACTGAGGCCGATCCCGAGTCTGAGAATGGCTTGAAGTCACCCATCCATTAAACCAATTTAGAGGCTCCCATAGGTTTTATCGACATCGTGAAGTAAAACCCAAGAGGGCGATAAATGAACCGTTTTGACGAAAATTGCAGCAAAAGCGAAGAATGGTGAAACCTTGATTGTGGTTCAGAAACCGTGAGAGTGGGAGGTTAGTTAACAATGAGCGAAACAGTTCTGCTTCTGCGGACGGGGAGGTTCGAACTGTCTCTTTTTAGTTTAAATGAGAATGGGAAAATCACATTTGAGTCCTATGTAAATAAGTTAATGTCAAATAAACCTTAAATTTGCTTAACTATTTAGAGGTCCCTTGTTATTTCTAATACATATGAAAAGATAAAATTACCCCTTAAATAGTGAAAGAAGATGGTAAAAAAAACCTTGTCAATCACAAATTGTGCAAGCTCCATTTTTGTCCAAATAAACCTATGTAATTTGCACATCCTATTATTGCTTTTAGCAGTCCATGAAGCTTTGCTTTTGGTTTGCTCTGTCTCTTTATTTTCCCTCTGGTCTTGAACAAGCAGTGTTTTCAGAACCGGACCGGACATTGAACCGGAAAAGTCAGCGGTTCACGGTTCGCATGGTTCAACCGGTTGGACCAATGGTCCAACCGGTGACGTAATAATTAAATTAAAAAAAAATTATATATGTATATAATAATTTAAATATAAGAAATACATATAAAATTGCTATTTAACTTAAAAAACTTAAATATTTTAAGTTTATTATGACTTAACAAGCTATATGATACACTATAATATCAAATGATTAAAAAAATTAGTCATTTTTTTAAAAAAATTTGATAAAAAATAAAAAAAAAATTTTGAACAGTCCGGTTTTTGAAAATCGGATCCGGTTCCCGGTCCGACCGCCGGTTCGAAATGGCTCAACCCGGCTCAACTCTGAAAACGGTTTTTTCCTTTGAACCAGACCGGAAACCAGACCGGTCGACGGTCCGACCGGTCCGACCGGCCGGTCCGGTCCGGTTTTCAAAACAGTGTGAACAAATATCATTGCCATTGTTGCTTCAACTGAAATCACAAAGGACGGAGGAGTGCATAGCTCAATAACAAACGTGTCAAATATGAGTACCTAATAAAGAGGCACCTACTCTTCCTTTTCATTATGGGAATTAGAATATTCATGAAAACCTACTTTTGACACCAAATGAAAGTGATAAATGCCATGCACTGTACAAGTAGGGCTAGAGTTAGAGAGAGGGAGAGATGTTCAAACAAGTGTGTGTACATTTACATTGCATCCCCAGTCGTAGAGATCAAACTAAAAGTTGTGTGTGTGAGAGAGAGAGAGAGAGAGAGAGGCTACCATTGTTAAAGCTTGATCGCAGTGAGATTTTGACCGCATCTTCTTCAAAAACAGTGGATGACTTGATTGTTTGATCCTATATTTTCTCGATTAACCTTGACTTTCCATCTCATGTGTATGTCAATCTTGATGATAATGAGGACATTATTGTTGGACTGGCCCTGACTCAAGGAAACAAAATTGAAGGAAGCTGCAAGCACGTTTGTACATATTATTCGAAGAAAAAAACTCAAAAACATAAAATTTGAAGACATGGATATTTTTAGAAAAATAAAGTTTCAACTAATGCTTTTCATAAAATGTAAACTAGTTACTAATAATATATATTGTGATCTAGAGGAAGTAATAATCCTTTGACAAAAAAAGGAAAAATGGCAATTAGAGACTTTATAAGAACATCAACGATAATTATAAACATTAAATTATTGAAATCTTAATAATAAATCATGATCCTTACTTGCAATTAAAAAAAAATGCGAATAGTTAGTTGGAAAAACAACTGCATACACTTTAGATTATTTGTAACATTAGTTAAAAATTACAAGTTAATCACTTATAATTTTTTAGCTATTATTTAGGAAATCAATAATAGATACTTGAAAATCTTTATAGCGCTAGTTGAGAACTTACAAAAGTTCATTGTAAATCTCAAGCTAATAAATAAAAGATAATTTATTGTATTCAAGGATTATGATCTCTTATAGGGATTTTAATAATTAAATATTTGTAATTATTATTAATATTCTTATGGGATTCTTAATCGTCATTTTTTTAAAAAAAAAAAGCACCAGGCTAATTAAGGGTGCTCTCTAATTTTAAAATACAAACATATATTTTAAAATTTAAATTTAAATTAAAAATTAAAAATATTTTAATTTTTAAGGTAAAATAAAAATAAGCTTAAATTGATTGTTCAAGGGATTTATTAGGATAGGGTTAGTCAAATTGATTTTTTTTTTAAATGTCACTTTTTTAAGTTTCAATCTTTATCAAAATGAGTTTGACTGAGCAACGCATTAGATTCGGCTCTCATTCCCAATTACGATCATGTGTATGACAAAGAAGAGTCAAAGCATGTAATAATCTCTGGGTAAAGAAAGCATGTAATAATCAGCCACTGTACTTCCATTTGCTGAAATTAGATTCTCATATTTTGAAAGATGGCCTCATTAATCCCTCCAGTCATAAAGCCCATCAAGATCATTAAATTCAATTGAGGTGGCCCTCACAAGGAGGATACGTGGATAAATAAACCCACATGGTCTGTGACCTGGTTAAATGGTGACGTGGTGGACAAGGAAGAGGACCAGGGGAGTCCGAAACTACAAATTGGGCTAGACGTTCACGCTCAGGCTTGATCCCTATAACGCAGTTCTATTTCATTGAAGCTCGCTTGGTTCTGCACGCTCTATAGGTTTGAAGAAAGTACGACTGTAGAAGGGAGATGGTAGGTTTGCATGATCACGAAAAAACAAACACTAAAATAATGCGTGTAAGATCCTTTATTTAAAAAATTTAAAAAAATTTTAAATGAAAAAATAAATAAGTTGAAATTCAGAACGAAAATTTAAAAAAATTTAAACTTGTGTGTACACAAATGAGATAATTGATTTAAATTTAAATTTTTATTAATCTAAACATACCATTAAATAAATTTTAAGCTTGAATTTTGTTAAAATCATAGGTGCAAAATACCAAACATGTTGCAATGTGGACTTCACTCCTAATTCCCTTTCCTTCCCTTGTGATTCTTGCCTATCTGAACAGAAATGGAAGAGTGAAGAATGTTTTAATTAAATTATAATTCTATCATTATTTTTCTTGATTTTATATTTTTTAATTCCTTGTCTGTAAATAAAAATGAATGAGTAGTTATCAGTACTACTTACTATTTCTCAATAAAACTAAAGAAAAACCTAATATTTGGTCCCTATAATTTTATTGGTTTTTATTTTTAATTTATATAGTTTTTCTCTATTGTTTTTAATCCTTTTAGGAAATAAAAGTATTGAAAAAGTTAAAATTATAAGGACATGAAAAACAAACATTATTCAATTTTTAAAAATTATAAGGATTAAAAATATTGAACAACAATTATAAAAACTAAAAGTAAAATTCTATTAACCTATATGGATTGATGACTGTGCTTTCCCTAAAACTAAAAATAACTAATACTTCATTCATTAAAAAATAAAAGATATTTTTAATCAAATCTCACTTCTAATAAAGTTTTCACCTACTTTCAAACTAATCATATCTTTTAATATTTACCCCTATTAATTACCCTATAACAAATATAAAGTTACCATAAATAGGAATACTTTTGAAAAAAAAAAATAATTATATCTTGAAAGACTAAACATGCTATATTTTTTAATATTTAACTCTTTAAAAAATATCTTACATTTTTAAACAGAAGAAATATGTTTTTTTAATAAAAGTTTCTTGATAAAATAACGTGTATCTATAAAGTCTTTTACAAGCAACCAGAAAAGGAAACGACGCTGCCATTTTAAAAATAATTGTACTAGACTACTAGCTGTATCAAAAAAAAGAAAATACATTTGAATGATTCTTATATACTACTAGTAAATTTTTACACAAAAGATGAAAAGAATCTGAAATTATTTTTAATTTAATTACACACAACATTTTTTTTTTTTTAACCGAACCTTAAAAAACTTTACTCACATTAGAATCCTTCCCGGTGGCGGTAAGTATTTGCCCAGGAAAGATCGTTTATCATTAAATTAATCAAAATTAAATATTAATTATCACTACTAAGTATATATCAGTAAATTAATATATATCATGTTCATATTTATATTATAAAAAGCTTAGAAACCAAACGGACCCTTAATAGAAATTCCGTTTACAAATCACCTTGACTGACGCCTCAGCTCGGCCGCGCCTATTCACGGCTTCATCAAAGTCTGCAATTAGTGATACATAATGCATTTTCACTCTCAGTCTCCTTCAACCAGCTAAGCTCTCTTCTCTTCCCTTCTCTTTCTTCTCTTCCATCATCGTCTTCGACCTAGTGGAGGAGGAGCAGTTCTGGAGAAACGCAACATAGATCTTTGCATTCCAATCCAAACATGAAACCCCCTATCAGTGGCGATTTGTTCAGAACGCCCTCTTTCCTTAAGATCGCTGCTTTCTTCTTCGTTACCGCCACTTTCTTTTTCTTGGGTAAGCACTGGTCCCAAGGCTCCCAGCAACTCGTCTTCTTCACCACTGCGAGTCAGCAGCCTACTACGGTTGTTACGTCCCCGAATTACAACAAATTCTTCAATATCTCTGCCCTCATTGCTCAGAATGAGACCCAATCACAGCCGGAGAAAACCCTAGCAGCGGTGCCCCTCGTCCCACCCCAAGCTCCCCCTCCACCGGCACCACCACCTCCACCGGCTTCGATTCGGACATTCGGGATCCTCAACGAGAATGGCACAATGTCTGATGAATTCGACGTTGGGGATTTCGATCCGGAACTGGTCGATAATTGGGTCAATGAGACTCAAGTTGAGACGCAGGAGAATTCTGCGTCTGCTCCCCAATTCACAATAAAGAAGTTTGGTTTATGCCCGCGGACCATGAGTGAGTATATACCTTGTTTAGATAATAGAGAGGCAATTCAGAAGCTGAAGTCGACGGAAAGGGGTGAAAGGTTCGAGAGGCATTGTCCTGAGAAAGATCGATCTTTGAATTGCTTGGTTCCGGCGCCTAAAGGGTATCGTAGTCCAATTCCATGGCCGAGAAGTCGAGATGAGGTATTCTGCGCAAGAATTCGTTCCTATTCAAAGGCAGAAAGTCACAGAACTCCATTGTTCTTTCGTTATTGATAAAGTGACATACGGTTTGGTTTTCGAGGGAAAAAAAGTCAGAACATGACGGCTATTTTCTATTCGCGCTAGTTAGATCCACACTAAAATTAGTGATGAAAAATTCTGATGGTTAATTGATTATCTCGCACTTTTTATCTCGCTCTATGAGGTTTCTTGCCTTTTTGTGTGCAGGTATGGTACAGTAATGTTCCACACACTCGTCTCGTGGAGGACAAAGGGGGTCAAAATTGGATTTCCAGAGACAAAGATAAGTTTAAGTTTCCAGGAGGTGGTACACAATTCATTCACGGGGCAGATGAATACTTGAATCATATTTCTAGGGTACTTACCTGCTTAGATTTGACTTATTCAGCATAATAGATCTATTTATTGATTTTTCTGATGTTATTTATCTTGATGTCTAGATTATTCCTGAAGTCGCATTTGGTCAGAATACAAGAGTTGTTCTCGATGTTGGCTGTGGTGTAGCCAGTTTTGGTGCGTACTTATTATCACGAGATGTACTCACTATGTCTATTGCTCCCAAAGACGTTCATGAGAATCAGATCCAATTTGCTCTTGAGCGCCATGTACCTGCAATGGTGGCAGCATTTGCAACTAGACGTTTATTATATCCCAGTCAAGCTTTTGACTTGATACATTGTTCTCGCTGTAGAATCAATTGGACTCGAGATGGTATATTCTTCTTCCTTATGTCATTGTGGTACTGGCAGTCCTTGGTGATAATGGGGAGAAAAATGACAAGGCAAAAGAAATATATAACAGCTAACCAAACTAAAGATAGCAAGTTGGAATTGTCAATTCTTGCAGAATAAGCATTATTATTGCTATTTTCTTTATGATGCTTGATGCTTTTCTTCTCATGTTAGGTAGTCACTTTTCTTGAAGCCTGAGCTTATTCCTATTAGATGTGTTACTGTTGGACAAAACTGCTGCTAAATTGTAAATGCTGATTCATCATCTTCTTAACCCCACATTATTCTGTTAATGAACATAAAAATAGGCTTTTCACTTGTTTGCTGTATGAAGTATATATCTAAACTCATTTATTCCTTCCACCCTTTTGTTAGTTGCTCAGTTGGAGTTCTTCTAATGGGCATTCTCTTTGTTACTTGTCATGAAGATGGGATGTGGCTACTTGAAGTTAATAGGATGTTAAGGGCAGGAGGGTACTTTGTCTGGGCAGCCCAGCCAGTTTACAAGCATGAGGAAATTTTGGAAGAACAATGGGAAGGTAATATTTCTGACATTGAATTTATTGAAGGCTTTCAGCAATATCTGTAGGATTTGCTGGTTGAATTGCTCAGCTTTGTGCATTTTTTATTAACACAAACATTTTCTGACGTGATATGTGCATCAAATTGTTTCAGACCTTTGGGATGGCTGAAAGAATTGACATGTAATCTGTTAAAAGGCCACATATCACAATTTTTCTTGTTAATATTGGCATTTTTGGACATGAAATGTAAATCAAGTTGTTTGTTACCTTGTTTTCCGTCAGTTTCTCAGAACATCAGACAGACAGAATCAAGGAATAATCTTTAATAATATCACAAATATGATCTAGACTTCCCCTTAACAATTCATATGTTATTCAAAAGCAATGACACTAACCTTCTTCACGTAATATGTTTCCTTGCAAATTCGTTTATCTTTATCATTCTTTCAATGGCATAAATTCGATGGTGTCAGAGGAGAAGTGTCTAATATGGTGTTAGATATCTGCTTATTGGCTCCCATGATCATCCTTTAAAGAGTTAATCTGTTTGTAATGCGCTGACTTATATATATATATATATATATATTGTTGTCTGCATCTATGATGCATGTAACAATGGAATATGTTATCTTCAGAGATGCTCAATCTTACAACTCGTCTCTGCTGGAAGTTTTTGAAAAAAGATGGATATATTGCGGTATGGCAGAAACCTTCTGACAACACTTGCTATCTAACCCGTGAGACAGGAACTAGTCCTCCACTATGTGATCCAAGTGATGACCCAGACAATGTTTGGTATGGTGTTCTTGCTTTCCTGATCTAGATGAGAGAATATGACGTTTCTATCCAATTATGATCATTGTGACAAACTACATAAATTTATCCTAAAATGTAGATTGTAGAGCTTTTCAAGATCAAGTCAATTAACTAAGAAGCTAGGTTTTGGTTATATGTAAATTGAAACTGCCCAAGGGAGTAGGATATAGTTCCTTCATTGATGTTGAAATGTGTAATGGCCTTTAGATTCGGGTAAATTTCTCAAAGTGATTAAATTTGAGATACACTAAAACTATTATTATAAGGATCATGTATATAGTGGTTAGTGTTGACAAAGCAAGCATTTATGTTCCTTCTCGTAGGATTGATTTTGACTACTATAAGATGCCTTTTTAATAGCTATTTTAGGATAATTATTGAATCATGCTGGCATTATAGGTATACACAAGTTTTCTATTCTCCCCTCATCATTCTAAGGGGTAAATCTCACATGAGATGCCTTAAATGCGGTGATGGTTCAATATTGAATTCCTTAATCCTCATCTTTTAGAACTAGTTCATACCTTCATTCTACATGTCTTTTTACGTGTAGGAGAGGATGTTTGTACGGCGTCTGTGGTTCCAGTGATAATGTATACCAGGGTCGTTTGTTTATGAAATTTTAAACAGGGAGGAAGTGTTTGGGATTTCTACTAACAATGCCATAGTCCCATTTTTCAAAACGAGCTTACCTTTTATGCCAGCTTTGGGAAAGCAAAAATAAGACCAGAGTTAGTTCTATGTTAGCAATTTAAAATTTTTGGGTCAAACCCCAGGATAGCCGTTTTAGACATGTTATTCTTATTTTGTTACTGGCTCATTATTGTTGAACTTGTTATTTGCATGATTAATTTAGGTATGTTAATCTTAAAGCATGCATCTCTCGATTGCCTGAAAATGGATATGAAGCAAATGTTACAAGGTGGCCTGCACGCTTGCAAGCTCCACCTAGTAGGCTTCAAAGTATAAAATTTGATGCCTTCATATCCAGAAAAGAGCTTTTTCTGGCAGAGACAAAATACTGGAATGATATAATAGGAGGCTATGTTCGTGCATTACACTGGAAGAAGATGAGATTAAGAAATGTGATGGACATGAAAGCTGGTTTTGGAGGGTAAATTAACTATCCTATTATGCACTTGAAATTATATGTATATGATTTTTCAAATCAGTATCTTCATCTTAATTGTGTGTTTTACAGATTTGCAGCTGCGTTAATTGATCAGAATTTTGACAGCTGGGTTATGAATGTCGTCCCTGTTAGTGGCCCAAACACCTTGCCTGTAATATATGACCGTGGGTTGATTGGAGTTATGCATGACTGGTATGTTTCTAAAGTAATTTCAATCTAATCATATGTTAACTGTTATCATTGCTGTATTGACTTCGCTTAATTTTACTCACTAGATATTTTGTGCTATCTTACTTGTCTGTGTCACTTTGGAAAACCTGTGGGAGGAATCCCATTCCAAATCTGTCCATAGTCTTTTGTGATCACGTCAAAATGTACTAAAATTTCACCAAATGTGATTCAGGTGTGAACCATTTGACACGTATCCCAGAACCTATGATTTACTGCATGCAGCAAACCTGCTTTCTATTGAGAGAAAAAGGTACCTCTTTCTCTGCTTGTCACTGTTGTGATCTCTGTCCTTGTTGATAACTATTGTTTTTTGCCTCCCTGGGTCCTGTGCCAAAAATAAAAAAGTCCGTGTTCAATATATTCTAGCTCAAATTGGAAAATGGTATTACAGTGAGTATTGCGAACTTAAAGCCCGTATTTCCTTATATTTTTCAGCTTCCTAATCTGTTTTACCCTCCCGTCTGCAACTTAGAGATTTTTTTATTTACATGCCATTGTTCCAGATTTTAACAGTGTTATGCCCAGGAAAATCTACTACCGCAATGTGTAATGTGTAAAATTCATATTCCATTTTCCATTTAAAACGTATAATCTAAGTGACTTCTGACCTGAAACTAGTAGGGCTGTCCTTTTGTGCTTTTGGTATTGTGAGAGCATGTGGCCTCTCTTTGATCTTTATTATCTGTTCAATATTACTGCATCAGATGCAATATTTCATCAATTATGCTTGAGATGGATCGGATCCTGAGACCTGGAGGGCGGGTATATATCCGTGATTCCCTGGCCATCATGGATGAACTTCAAGAGATTGCTAAGGCAATAGGCTGGCATGTGACATTGCGAGATACAGCCGAGGGACCTCATGCAAGTTATAGGGTCTTGGTTGGTGATAAGCGCTTGCTTTGGGCTTGAATCCGTGATGTGTATGAAACATACTGGTTTTTTCCTTTGATCTTTGCAATGGGAACGATCTGCAGAACCACACTCATTTGAGAAGCACGGAAACATTGCTGCAAGTAGTCTCTTCTCTTCCTTACAAGCTTCTGGGAGTGAAAGTATGCCAGGAGCATTTCTTTATTTGACACTCGACGTCTGATACCAATATAGCTGGATAGATTAGAATGCATCATCTAACTTAATTGTAAAATTCAACTTGTTTTTTTGTGCAGAGGTTTCACATTAGCATTTGTTATTTTGTTTGTTGATGTTATTGCAAACATTGCAATTCCTCATGTATTCTCTCCCCAATTTTTCAATGTCAGGTTACGTGTTTCTGAATAGGATTCATCTGATTCTTGATAATATTCCACCATTTTCTTTCTTTCTTTTTTCAATAATTCCATGCTTATTATGGTTCATTCGTTACAGCAGGAACACTCTAGCCGTATGGTATCTCCTATCTGTTAGTTTTCGAACTCTGTAACATGGTAAAAGTGAACAAGGGTATTAGTTCCAAGGAAAAAAACGTATTTGTGATACCTCAAAAAACGAGATTGATATACATACACATGTTTCTTACCTATTTTCTTTGCAGTGCTTACGAGGTATATGAATGCATGAAGCATAGCTAAGAAGTATAACTGGTTCAATTGGTTCATGGGTTTCCGTCAATTTCAAGTTTTCTCCATTTCCAGGAATAGACTAGTTAGTAGACATTAATTTACTAGTTTTCTAGTCAAACCGGTTAGTCGAATTCCTTTTTGTCCCCCAAATCATGCTTGTCACACCTCATTGCATGACAGTGATTATGGATTGCAAGTTGCAATTCAAATCTCAACACTGAAGATATCATTTGTTCGTAATTAACTAATTATAGAGGATCCATCAATTTACGCAAATCTTGAGAGCAGTTGAACTGTTTATAGCATGTAGACGTTGCATCTTTATATAATGTAAGACATTTTTAATTGAATTTTACTTATCAAAAGTAGTTACCTACTTTTAAACTAATCTTATCTTTTTATATTTCTCCCTATTAAATACTCTACAATAAATATAAAGTGATTATCAATAAGAATATTTTTGAAAAAAAAGGCAATTATTACACTTCAAAATGTTGAAAATACCTTACATTTTTTAGCATCTAACTCCTCAAAAAGTGCCTTATATTTTTTAACGAAGAGAGTAACTTTTGAAATTTAACAGTAAATCTTATTAGCTTTTGAAATTTGTATAATAGTAAATTTTAATTTTATTTTTATTCAGAAGATGAGACTGATGCCTAACCAATCAGCTGCGAAGAATATTATGTTTACTATAGCTATAAATTGTTTATAATTTTTAAGACGCCGTTTTTATTTTTAGGTTAGTGGGGGAGAAATGCCTACCAAACTACAAACAAGGCATGTATGGCAACACCCGGATTCAGATCCTCTCAGAAGCGCCATCTCAACATCCCAAATCTCAGCACGCCGATACATATCTAATGTCCCATATTTTGCACATCATCTCAGGTAAAAACAATTTTATTTTAAAAATTAATTCTTTTAATTTGTTCTAGAAAATTGTTAAATAAATTTTTATTAAATAGATCAGGCCAGAGTTTGAATAAACCAAACTATAAGTATTTGCTTACAATATGACTTATTATGTAAATTTATTTAAATAGATTTTTATTAAATAAATTATACCAAAGTTTGAATAAGCCAAACTGTAAATATTTGCTTACAGTTTAACTTACCTTGTATATTTTTTTTAAACAAATTTTTATTAAATAAGTCAAATTAAAGTTTGAATAAGTCGAACTATAAGTTTTTTTTGTGAAAATATATAGGGTAATTTTTTAAAAGAAGTTTTAAAAATAAAAAATGAAATAAAAAGTCAATTTAACAAAAGAATTAATTTTTAAAATAAAATTATTTTATATTAGATGATGTGACATAATATAAGACATTAGATATTTATCAGAGAGCTGAGATTTGAGATGCCAAGGGATGCTGAGGAAAGGCGCTTCTAAGAGAATTTGGATCCGGCAATACCCACATTACTCTCATACATTTAGCTGCAACTATCCATGCATCAAGTTATGCTTCGTCACACCCTTCACGCTCCTTCTTGTGATGGCAGTTGCGGGTTTAACTTGTAAATGAGCTCATCAAAATGTTTAGACTAACATTTTATCTATGTATCTATCTATTTTTTTCTTTTAACAGTTCAACTTAACATGCTGTTTTCACAAAGAGGATTGAGCCGTTAATTGGGTGCCTGACAAGTTAACACGAGTACGCTCAAAAAAAATCTAGACCAAGTCTAAATTTGGATAGGCTTAGCCCAAACATCAAAAATCTTTTTAATTATTAATAAATTGAAATTAACATTCGCATCAACTTTTATTAGTACTCACAAATTTTCTCCCAAACGCCTAGTTCATACTCCTATATAAGATTTTAATGTTCTAATAACTGTTTAATTTGTTTTGAATATTTTTTAAAAATATTAAGAAAAAATAAATACATGAGCTTACTTTATATGTTTTTATTTTCACTCTTTCAATGCTTGACATCACTTTAATAAGAATAGGAAAAAAAGTGCATTGTAATGTTATGTTGCTCAATAAATTTTAATTTTTATGATAAAAATTAAAATTGACTCAAAAAATAAAATAAAATAATATTTAATAATTTAAATATTCGGGTCAACCCAAATAAATTTAAAAGGCTTAGGTGTTAAGGTTAAACTTGGTTAAATGAAATTTTTAAATTTGTTTGGATATTGTAAATCTAATCTAAATAAGCCTAATACAAATAAACATGACTCCAAGGCTAATGGCTAGATCAACTTCGCACCATCATTTTTTGAACTATTGATTTTTTGTTTTATCATATCTAGTTGTTTAAACCATTTGGATAATCTTGATGGATTCTTGTGTTTTCAAAGTCTATAAGATAAGATGCAAGAAGATCTACTTTAAAGATGATATTCTGGAAAGCAAAATTGCCTTCTCCTGCACTCAACAAATAATGAATGACCTAAAGCTTTAATCTAAGATCAACTAATTGAGTAAAAGAGACAATAGATATGAAGTTAAATAGAGTCTTCTTGAATCTAGTTAGGTTAGACTTGACATTAATTGCTCAATTGATACTAATGATGATGCTGCTTATGGAGGCATTACTAGAGATAACAAGAGATATGAGATTGAAGGATTTTTCAATAGTCTTGAGTATTACTCTAGCATAACAACTGAGCTATTGGGAATTTTAGAAAGTCTCAACCTTTGCTATAATGAGAAACTTTCCAAACTTAATGTCTACTCAAATTCCATGAAGGCTTTATTACTTATTGATAACAGCTGCTATGATACCCATCCCCTCTCCGTAATCATAAGAATATCAGAGATATCATAATAAGAGATTGAATTATTGCTTTTGATCATATCTATAGGAAAACCAACAAATACATTAATCTACTAGCCTATAAGATATCTTATAAAGATTTGGATATTTTCATCTTTGATAACTTGCCCCTGATTGTAAAAGTCTCATGGCTTTAGATATGATAAAACCTTAGTCTCTTTGCAGTTTGCACGGTTATACTATGGCCTTTATTAAAAAAAAATGGTCTATAACATTGGTCACATTATTTATAATATAAGCAATGATAAAAAATGATATTATCTTTTTTTATCATTTTTATAGATATATTGATTGATTTAAAATGGACAAAAAGGCAAAAATATCTTGAAACTTTTTTCTTTAAGGGCACATGATATCCTAGACCTTTTTTAAGTGCAATGTCACCCTAGAAGTTTTTAAAATTTGTGCAATGTCACCCTACTGTTATAATTGATTGTTTGTTGAACGTCTAATTGACTTGACTTGTCATGTAACATTTCAAAAAAAAAAAGCAAGTACATGTGGTCTTCATCTTCTTCAATTGTCCAGAATCAAACCCAAGAACATTGGTTTTCTCTCTACTTTAGATCAATCATTTATAGGGCTGTCAATCGTCTTGAATAAATTGTCCATACTATTCATCTTCTCCAAACCCCTTCTATAAAACTTCCATTTCTACAACACATAATTATGACATACTTAACCTTAAGGTAGAGCTAACATGATATTTATAATTAATTTAATAATAAAAGATGTCATGGAAAGAAAAGAATTAACTTTGGGTATGTAAAAATTCAAATAGGCTAGGTAAGAAAATCTTATAGAGATGAAATTCTATAAATCATTTAATTAGAAAACTAAGTTTAGAATATCAACCATTATACATCAAAGTAAAAAGTATTTGAAAAGCATGAAAAGCATTTAGAGTTGAAAACAAATCAAAATAAAGTCAAAAGAGTCATTTTTACTTAACAAAGGCACTTAGCTACGGCTAGAGCAGATTAAGCTACGGCTGACACTTTCAAAAAAGATTTGACTGCAGCCAATTCCATTTTGGCTGTAGGCAAATGGTCTTGGCCACTCCTTTGGCTACAGCCAACAATTCATAAGCTACAGCCAAAGATGTAACAGCAATTGTCATGACAGCTCCATAACCATGAACTTTCGATGAGCATAACTTTTGACTTGGACCTCCAATTAAGGCAATTCAAGAGCCTACACATCAATAATTTTATAATCTAATGAATGATTTTGTTTTAGGTTAATTTGACATCAGATGAAGAATTTAGACACCTGAAACCATAATTTCACATTTTTACCTCTAAACCATCAGCCAAGCATCCAAGTCTCAAATCATAAGTCATTAGCCCACACAAGGGCTTGAACCATACTCAATAAGTCCTAATATACTTATCTAAATAGTCACAATTATCAAACAAATCTAAATACAAGAATTGACCACCCAACCATCATAAGGCACATAATAAGGGGGTGACAGTGCAATTATTTACATTCAAGCTAAACAATCACTCAAAGCATGTTAAACTTATCTAACTTATCAAGATATACTTGTTCAAACTATTTTGGCACAATACAGTGGTCAAATTAAGGATTTGGACCTTTCCATAGCCAAGACAATCCAAAAATGACTAAATGCAATGTTTAAATTCCAAATGCAAGTAGACTTCAAATAAATATAAGTTAATATGAAAGACTCCTAGTTAGGAAATATTATAATTAAATTACATAAAAAAGATAAAACTAGAGACATTGTAATTGATTACTCAATCTCTAGCTTCAGAGGCCTCCCCTTTGCTCTTAGCTTGATCCTCCCTTGTAAACATTAAACTATGAAAGTGAGATAAATATCTCAGTAACCAAGTATTTAATCAAGCATATTAAAGTATGGCATTCACAACAATTAAGAATTTAGTATCATATAAAGCAAGCCAACATTATTCATAATGCATCTTTATAATGTATTTTGCATGATTAAATGTAACCGCCTTATACCACTCCTTATATCATCTGATCGAATCTATGAGTTATTATCTTATATAGGTCTAGCTCAAGTGACTAGACTAGCCCTATTTTTCAATTATGAAGGGTTACCTAGCTAAAGGCTCACATATTTACTCTCAGACTATGGATTCCCCTACTCAAATTTTGAGGTGTCATAAGTGCCTAACCCACACCGTTTAATCCAAGATCGATGATACCAAGCATTATGCCCATCTTATGCCACACCCATAGGTTGCTGGTAATATTAAGCACATAAAGTAATAAAGTATGCCAACCACTGTGTGCAAACTCAGTAGAGGCTATACCACGTGGATTTTCTATCATAATCCCTTTATAATTAGGGTGAACTCCTACCCATTATGATCATGCAAGTTCATCAACATATGTGAATTTAAACTCATGTATATCATAATAATTCATCATCCTCATAATTTTTTAAAAATTGCATGCTTATTATAGTCCACACCATATCATAATTTACAATAGATCATCATAAAATTAACTTATAGCTAATCCAAACCCACAATTCATATTTCAAATACCACACAACATCTATATAGACATAATCACCAAGCATTTCATCATAAATATGCAGGCTTATTATGACTCTTTAAATATCATCAATTACAATCACTCATCATGCTAACACACATTCATGTCATAGTCAATTTAGGCTTAACATTTCATGTTCTAATATCATATACATCTATATTTAGCTAATAGTTCATATTTGGCTAATAGTTGAAAATTAACATATTCATTCATGAGCTCATTTTGCTTATTTCAAGTCATCTATGATAATGCTTAAAATGTAAATACATGCACAATTATATATTATAATTAAATTTTCAGTTATCTCAACTCTTAGTTTACCAAATAAGAGTAACCATGAATATCATACGAAGCCTCCAATAAGCTTAATAGAACCAATAATGATCAATTTACAATCAAACATATTAATAGTCATTAATAACTAATTATCTTTAATTAACTATAATCAGAGGCTAAATTCAAAAATTTTATTATGTTCATCTACCCATAACCAAATCTATATTTAGGTTCATTAGTTTATTTAGACTCTCATTAGTCTAATTAACACCATTAATAACTCATAACCCCTTTGGCTTAATTAATTAGCTTAATGGTTTACTCCAAACCCTACTTTAAAATCCTAAAACATCAATAAAATCATAACCCAAAGGTTAAACACTTAAATAAACACTCATTAATCCCATTAAAGTTAGAATTTTAGGCAAAGTCACAACCTATTTTTGGATTCCCAAAAAATTATCCAAAAACAGTGATAAAAATGTATAAGAGAGGAAGAGAAGTGTTGTATGCCCTTACCCAAGTGATTAGAAGATCTAAATAGACTCAATTACATGCCTACAACGAACCCTAATAGAGCTCTCCTCATTCACTTTCGAACTCCCACTTAACTTGAATTTTTTGAGCTGAAATGTAGATCTAGAGGCTTAAAAATTGAGTTTTAATTGCAGCTAAGAGACTTTTAATGTCGGCCAAAGACCAAAAATTAAAGTTCCGAACATGGTCCATCTAATTGGGCCCAAATATGACCCAGTACCACCAAAGGTCTAATTTTAAGTCCTAATCAGGGTTCAATATACCTATTAGCCATTCGTATATTATATTTTAATCCAAATTAGCTCTCAATTATCTAATTTATCTTTAATAACATAATTAACTTTAAGTTAAATTTTTTAGGATGTTACACCTTCAATCTATCAAGAACTAAACTCAGGTGTTGCCTCTCTTTTTTTGAATTTGCCAAGCCTCTTTTCCCTTTCACAGTGGCCAATAGCGCTTTTCTCTCCACCAAAAGTGCCCCTTTGATCTTCTTCTTGCTGGTCAAGGTTTTCATTAGATCTAGTTGGCTCTCTTTAATCCTCACCTTTGCCCTTTCACTCCTCTCCTAACCTAGATCATATTTGCCTTCCTCTCCTGCCTCGTTCTTCTTCCTCTTCCTCTTGCAAATCCAGATCCCGTTTGTAAACCTTCATCCTTTTCTTTAACCCATTCTTCCTACCCTAATGATGATGGCTGACTCCCCTTTCACTTCTTCCCTTCAAGCTTGTTAGGATCATATTCGTAAAGATGGTGATGAAGGAACCAAGAATGTCGTGCAAAGTATGGTGATAAAGGCAAAGCAGTTGCATCGATGAAGATAATGATTAAAACTTGTTTGTCGCTCAACACCTTTGATCCTGGGTTATGATGGAGAAATGTCCATGAGCATGATTCGAGTGAAGATTGATTGAGTTTAATTAGCTTCAAATCAGAGAAATGTAGAGGATGCTAACATATTTTGGGCAAGGATCTATTGATGACTTGAAGATTGTATTTGCTTATGTGGGTTACAAATTTAGTGAGAAAGAACTTGTATTTGAATTGCCATGCTTTAATTTTGCTTTCTTGCTTGTTCAATATAGGTTCACATTTTGCTGGCCTGCTTATTAGATCTAAGTTCACAATTTTGCCTACTTGCTCTTTTTTTGAAGCAATTTCTTTCCACGCAATTGGGTAGTTTTAAAGTGGATTCCTCTAGTGTGACTTGTAAATTTTCTTGTTGTCTTAGACATAAAGGATCTGTTTTTTCTTTTAATTTTTAAAAATGCCACATGGTTGCCAACTTAATAGTTAAAGTTAAATTAATGGTCAACTATTAGTCAACATTATGACAGGGTAACATTACACTGTTTGAAACTTTTGAGGCTACATTACACCTAAAAAAAAATTGGATCTCAAGTGTTCTTGGAAGAAAAGTCCTAGGATTATTTTGCTCTTTTGTCCATTTTAAATTTTAGAAGTTATTAGTATGTAATTTATAATTATCACGCTGGCCCAAAAAATAAAAAAGTCGTTGATTCATAATGTAATAAAAAAATTTAGTAGATTCATCATTATTTACGGCTGTACGCATTTACTAATTTTTCATTTTTCATTTTTCATTTCATTGCACACATCTCACTCCTCAGACCCTAATCTCCGACACAGGTCTCAGGTCTGTCCTCACTTCTCCGCTCTTTCATTTCATCTCTCTCGGTTTGAAGTAGAATTTCCAGAAAACCAGCGTACTCTGGTAATGTAGTTGATAGTTGATAGTTGATAAATCTAAAGCGTCGACTCACATGGACCCAGTTCTACTTTTTGCCCTTTTCTCTGTCCAATAGAAAGAAAACCCCTGCGACTAAGTTATACCAACTGTTACTATGTACTCACTCCCAGCAAAGTTGCTTCCTCTCTCACTCAGTATAAAAACAACACGAGTACGAGGAGCCTCACTTGATTTTTTCGGCCTTTCCCACCTGAAGAATCGTCAGATTTTCCTGCAAAAGTGGCTAAATTCTGAATAATGCCGGTGAAGTTACTTGATTGTGCGTTCTCTTCGGTATCCTCTCTCTCAACTTTCTCCCTATTTCGTTGGCTGGTTGTTATTTCTTCTTCTTCTCTTTGTTTTTTAATAAAAAAGCCTGGGTGATGATTATTTGGCTTCTGTATCCGGTTCTTTGTGGTTATTGATTAATGGATTTCGGTCGCTGTGTTGAGAAACGACAATGTGGAAATATTTATGTGAAGTTCTTGAATCTCGAACTTTCTTTAGCACGTCGAGTTAGTGTGGGAGATTAGAGAGGCTGACTTCTGAAATATTGCTTGAACTTTTCTGCTAATTTTCGTTGACGAAACTTACAAATCCCCACATGAGACAGGATCAATACACCCAAAAAAAGGGGGGGATCTTCTTGTTACTGCGCGCTAATGATTTTAGAATCAGTTCTTCTCCCAAAAACTGTTCCTGCCCACTGGCATGCAAGCATAATGAAAGGAAGGATTGCATGATGTGCTGTCCTGTGCAGTGTAAGGAAGCCATAATTGATTTCTATTGGCATGTCTGTATGATCACATATATTTCAAACTTACTGTCAATTCGGATATTGATGATGTGGACGTACTGCATGGAACCTACATAGATGGTTGTGGACTCTGTGGCTTTATATTCATACCTTAGTGCTGCCTTGATATGATCTGACTAAATTGTTGTAGAAGTGGGAACATGCTCCATTCTTTTGTATATTCTTGTAGCAGTAGTCTTTTATGAATTGCGTTTTCTTTCGAGTTCTTCTAGTCCATGGAATATCTAAGGTTGATTGTTAGAAAAGTAATTCTTTAACAATTTTTACTCTGGTATGTAAGACATCCCTAGTATCAAATACCTGGAAATATAAGTTTCCACAATTTAGATTCTTGTATCACCTATGTACCTTTTCAATGATTTTTTTTTTTAATAGCTTGTCACACATACCAAACACTGGATCACAAGTTCAGGTATTTATATTGGAGTAACTGACAAACCAGTTCCAAACATCCCTTTAAAGTCGGGACAAAGGGTGCATATAGACAAGTCACTAAATCCAAATTGTACTTGTTAGTTATAGTGCTGATATCTTTGTGATGTAAGTATCTGCTGTATGAATTCTTGTGTACTTAATTAACTCAATGTTGTGTGTAAGAGATTTACAAAGTGCATTCCTTAACTTTATGAAAATTATGTCATTATCAGGTCATATTTGCTTCTTTATGGCTGTCAAGGATGTGCTGTCATAAAATGCTCCCGGATGCTTAAGCTCATAGATTGTTATCCTTGTGCCTTCATATTTTACATTTAGTGCTGCATATCATTGCTACTGATATTTCTTTGGGACCTAAGTGACAAAAATGAGTGGACATATTGTCTTGGATCATGTTCTGAAGGATATAATTAAGGTGATCACGCCCTTACATGAAGATTGGGTGGTGCGGCTTGAGATTGTTGAGGATTTACGAAGAGTTGTTGAATCTGTGGAGAACTTTAGAGGTGAATTTTACTTTTAAGCTTTGTCTCTGCTCAACACCCTCCCAAAATTCTTTTTGTTTAGGACTTGCATCCCTACCATGTTAATCCTGAAGAAAAGTAAGAAAAAAACAGTTAAAACATTTATTTGTTGAATAATCCATTATATTGGAGGGGCTCTCCTTGCAATAAGATACATTTTCTATTTGTAATTACTCCCTGCTGGAGTTGAAGTTTGGACTTCTGCCATAACTTAATCTCTTTCAGCCACCAACACATGAGTGGTGAGTCTGTCTACCGACTTCTCAAACTCAGCTATCTCTTGATACCTACCATGCCCTACACCAAAATCCCTATTCTGCCTTCATTCCAGTATTAGCCATGGAATCCTACTGCTTTGACACCAATTTGATAGGGCTCAAAAAGAGTTTTGGGCACAGGATAGAAACATCACAGAAGAGCTTAAGCTGAAACCCCACTTCTTCATATGTATATATATGTATGTATATAAACACCAGAAAAATACAGGACATACGACATGCAAAGGATCAAACTACTTGGGTATTAACCTTCCATAAAGACACTAAGCTAAACAGTGAGAGCACACACAGAAAGCAAACTAAGGGCATTGACTGATTGTTTCTAGCTTTCTAAGGGCTAGAATCTCTTCCAAGGAAAACACTTCTGAATTGATTTATCCCCTCCTTTTATTGCCTTCATCTTGTTTCTCTTGGAATAGGACTTTTGGGCTGAATTAACATTTTGGTCATCAAGCCTGTCAAAATGATAAACAGTTTTCTTCTACTTCTTGGAAACTTTTCTAAAATCTAGGTTGCTCATAAACACAAACACATTACCCATCATTGTTATGGTTGTTTCTATATCCTGAAGTATCTGCAAGCTATGTTAAGGTTCTGCTACTTATGCAGGATTGTAATTATAAAATTATTTGTTTCCCTCACCCGAAGGCAAAAGCAAATGAGACCATATTTGTTTTGTAAGGTTCACAGTATGCAATAATTTTTAGGCACACCATTTCCTTTTTGTCTTTCATGTGTATTGATGAGTACTTAAATGGGATGAGGAACCTCCCTTACAAAGTAGCTGCACTCTGCAATACTTCGCTTAGTGAACACTTCACTCAAATCTGTCGCCAATCAAAATCCTTTGTTAGTCAGAACTCAAAGTCTGTTGTAGATTTCCCTTTCTAGAACTATTGGCCACTATCATTGATACCAATTGATGGGTGTTAACATTCAAATTTGATAGGACAATCCCTCCCAAAAGCTAGTTATTGAGGTGGGGAACTAACTCGCTTAATGCCCCAAATAGCATTCCATGCTTCTCTATGTAGGACTTAGGCCTAAGTCTCCATCAAGTACCAAATATTTATGGCCCTTTGAAGAAACTGATGACTGTTTCCACCTATGCATATGTAGGGGCAATTTGTATGATATATCCTATATTAATGGCCAAACACCTATTTTTACAGGTTTCTTTGGCAATTATTTTTACTGGTTATGATAATATGGGTAGTGGTACTTATATTATTTCACTTGTGAAGCAGGAGCAACTGTTGAGCCATTTGGATCATTTGTGTCAAATCTCTTCACACGATGGAGTGATTTGGATATTTCAATTGAGCTACCAAATGGTTCGCATATTTCTTCTGCTGGGAAAAAACGCAAACAAATGTTATTGGGGGATCTTCTAAGAGCTTTAAGGATAAAAGGTGAATTTCTTTCACTTGGAGCTCTTGTCACTTTGTTAATTGTTTAGTAGACATATTTCTCTTTTAGCTTGCTTGTTTGACAATTTTTCTCCCATTCTAAAATTCTGACCATTTAGATCATCGTATATGTTTTCTCTAGTTAGCTGCTTAAGGAAAGGGAGTAAAATTAAACTATGCTTCTGGAACTGAAGAAAAAAAATTCTATCTTGTCATTCTGTTTCTAATGCTTACTTGTTTACCATACCTTTCTTCCTGCTTGTGATGAGAAATGATACAACATCTGTTATTATAGTAAAGCAGCGAGGGACATATGAAACTTGCTAGTTTATTTAGTACACTCGGTTTATTTTTTAATAACAATAATTTACAGGTGGCTGTAGCAGCTTGCAGTTCATCTCCCATGCACGGGTTCCCATTTTAAAATTTAGAAGTAACCGTCAGGGCATATCTTGTGATATTTCAATTGATAACCTGCTGGGTCAAATGAAGTCCAAGGTTTTACTGTGGATCAGCATGATGGATAGTCGCTTTCATGATATGGTTTTACTGGTACAGTGTTGTGGTATTGTAATGATTTTCATTAGATGAAATGCTGCTGTTTGATTTTCTCTTTCTAGTTTGTGTAGGTCAAGGAATGGGCCAAAGTGCATAAAATCAATAACTCAAAAACTGGAACTTTCAATTCCTATTCCCTCAGTTTACTTGTGATATTTCATTTTCAGGTATTTATCACAACAATTTATTATTGATGCCAGTGTTCATTAATCTGAATGTGTTTTGCTGAAAGTTTCCATGCGTGTCTCATGTTCACTTTTCAGACAGTTCACAAGAATGTCATGTATACTTTCTTTTGCATCTAATAATATGAACTGCAGTTCCTATGATGTGATAGCGCCTTCACTTTCATAATGATACAAAAAATGATAGTAGCATTATCCTAGTTGTCCAATTCTGTATGATGATATGTTATCAAATAAGAGTTTCCAAATCCACATTAAGCTCGTTTCTTTTGCAGCTATTTTTTTTTCCCTCAAAATCAATATATGGATCTCTGTCCTTCTTATGCTTGCAATTTTTTCTGTCAATTTCAGACATGTATTCCTGCAATTTTACCCCCACTTAAAGATATATACCCTGGCAATATTGCTGATGATCTTAGAGGTACATTACATGTTTAATCTTAGCATTATTCTCTTTTGTTTGTCTATATTTTAAGGTGATTTTTGTGTAAGCTGAACGTCTTGCTCAGAAGCTAAATAAACTTACCTCTTGGATGTTCAGGGCATATCCATCCATACAAAATATTGAAATTTTTTGTGAATGTAGGCAACTTACTGCAGTGTTAGAGTTCAACATGCTCCTGCAGCTACTTCTCTCCTTGCATTTGCTTGAACACTGCACTTGTGAGATTTTGTTCTAGAAATGACTTTGAAGAACTGAGATTTTCCACATGTTTCATGAAATGGACCATATATTGGTTCTGGGGGGACTGCAGCTAGTATTTGTTATGGAGATAGATTACATTTAGTGTTGATGAACACTCAGCTCTGATGACAAAGTGGCATGCCACAGGCTCATGGGCAAGTTTCCCTGTTGTTTAAAGTCTCTATTTTTCCTAATCATTGGGGCTCGCAAAAATTGAATATGAAAGAGGCACGAAGCACCTGTTAATTGTTGGTGGCTATTCATGAATAGGAATAACCCTAATAAAGCCAATGCACTTAGGCGGTTTCTTGTTTACCAGCCTATACTCTTTTATCCTGCAAGAAAATTCTAATGTTGTTTGAGTGCAGCTCTGTTGGGGGCATGGTGGAAAAAAAAAGTAGTGCAGCATGGCTACCAAACAAACTTACTCCTTAGTCATTGGTGTTTGAACCTCTGGCTATTAGCCTACTGAATCATCTTGAGCACTAGCCAATGTCAAATCTCAAGGGGCATGCTAGCACTCACTCTTATTCAAGCCCCTAGCTCTCTTCTGATCTTCTCTTCTCTTCTATCATCATCTTCTACCCCTTGGGGGAGAAGTTCTAGAGAAAGCAAGATCTTGGAGCTCGCTTCCCTTAATTGGTCATATTTGCTTGTGTTTTTACACCTAGATCTCCCACCTCCTGTGCACAGGAAAACGTCTTTTTATGAAACAATACACCCACCTGACTTTGTTAATCTGTTTGTTTTAATAGATTCCAGTATTTTCAGGTAAAAAAAAAAAAAAAGATTCCAGTATGACTAACATGCTTGAGTTACAATTAGGTCGATCCCTCCACCATCAATGATAAGACCATTTTCTAATCGAGATGGATTTAGGACACACTGCACATGGGATGCAAACTATGAAGGTTTTTCTGAGCCTTTTGAAAAATCTGCATTTGAGCATCAAGTTATCTCCTATCTTTTCTTTGAAATTTTGAAATGTGCGTGGAGATTGGTAATTTTTTGATATCTTAAAGAAGCATGTAACTTAGACTTGTCATGTTACCTGTATAGACTAAAACTGATTTGATATTTTTCTACTGTCTAGTTACATGTGTAGACTGTTATGACCTTTTCCTTGATGCATTCCAGGTGTTAGGGCTGATGCTGAGAAACTTATTGAAGAAACATGTCAGAATAACATAAAGTTTTTATCAAACAGGCCCAGACCAATTAATAGGAAACCTTTGTCTGAACTTTTCATCGAATTCCTAGAAAAGGTAAATGGTCATTTCCATGGTTTTATATCTTTCCCTTACAGTGATAATTTTTACTGATACTCTTGTGTAAATTTCATTCATTGTACATGGTTTAGTTGATGAAGCTTGATATGAGTTCATTTCCTCATAGAACATCTCTTTTGGTGATATCTCTGATTTAATCATATTTGGATATTTTCTGCAGTTTAGTGATATCAATTCCAAGGCAGAATTGGAGGGAATCTGCACTTATAATGGACAGTGGGAGCTGATAAATAACAACACGAGATGGCAGCCCAAGACTTTTGCCATATTTGTAATGTTCCTTTTGCTTAGACATTTATTTTCTTTCTTCTTTCCTGATACAAAGCCTTCTATGGAAGTATGGTCCAATGATTTAGTCCCCAGAGATGCTTCACTGGTCGATTGGAATGCCGATGTGTAGCACTTGATATCTCACACTAGTGTTCCTGTGGAGAAGTGAATATGACTAGCACTTAAATATCACATGCATATTTTCTACTGCTGTGCTGATGATACTGTTCCTGCCCTTTGGTTGATTAGATTGAGGATCCTCTGGAGCAGCCGGTAAATTCTGCAAGGTCTGTCAGCAAAGGACAACTTACGAAGATAGCCGAGGCTTTCAAGTCGACACACCGCAGCCTTACTTCAGTGAATGCAAGTCGAGGTTCCCTGATAAGGGAATTAGTACCACCACATGTAGCTCAGTTTATGAGAGTTTCTAACAACCAAGGTTACAGCGGTGGGTACTATCATCAGGCAATCTCGCCACAAACACCACCCCGCCATCATGGCACAATCTGGCCGCAAGGGCCGATGCCATCAAGAGCCATGGTGCATAGGCCCCAACACAGCAACCGCCATTTTGTGCACGTGAATCAGGAAGCATCCTCCAATAATACTTCAAGAGGACATGTTCAGGCACCTCAACGCCAGCAGATATGGAGGCAGAAGACCCGATAAAGTGGTGAATTGCTTGCAAGGGAGAGTCAGGAATCCGTATTGCTGGTAACCCTTTGGGTTTTTCTTTTGAATGAGATCTTTTGTCGCTTAATCTATGAGCTGGCTTATTTCTAATTTGTTGTTTCTATTTATCTTTTCATGTCGTTCCTTGGACATAACACACTAAAGCGTATTTTCATGAATCTTGGATTTACAACTTGAAAGAATTAATTGAAACAAAATGGCTTCCGAAGAAATCTACTTGAGATAGAATGGTAAGTTAAGCAAATCTAAAAGACTAATGGCCACAAAGATGATGTTATGTTCTGTAAGCAAACATAGCATGGAGGAATTTTTTTTTTTTTTTAAAAAGTAAGCTTCTGATTTATAAAGAATCTGGCAAAAAAAATATGTATAAAGCATGTTATTGATTTTTCATCACGTCTTTTTCTCTAATCAAATATTGATGAGAAAAAGCATATTCTTAATAGTAATTTATTCTAAAATTCATAATTTATTAGAGAATGCTATAAAATGCGCTTAATGGACTTAGACCAAAAAAGTGTCAAACGCCCAATAGAAGCCGAAGAGTATCAGCTCAAAAAAGAGTTAAGGACTGCCATCATAGGCCCGTGATTTTTTTGGGTCTTAAAATAGACACCCATGGTCCTTCAATTTTTTTTTAGTAGTCCTTTTAATTTTAAGTTAGGTTAGGGTGAATTGTTTTGTATGTTCTAAAGTTCAGATTGAAAACAAATAAAATTGCATTACCAAATAAAAATTAAAAACAAATATAGTTCTTTAAAAATATAAATATTTCTGATAATAATAAAACTATATGGAAGTAATGGGACGGGATAAAAAATCTCAATGCGCAAGACTACAATGCTGATGCCTGAATCCTGATGGTTAAAAAAGAAACAAGAACGGCAAATAATTGATTATGACTGATTTAATGCTAACAAAATGGGTTGTTTTTTAAATTTTAAACAAATTTCTTTGTTAAACATTGAAATCAATGGAATCAGAATGATGAAGTATTCCATTTCCATGGGATCCTTGTCAATAAAGAAAATGGAAAACGTGTAGGGCTTGACATGCATAGAATCTGATTCTGTTAATCAATACAGTTCGTCAAATGGTCTCAATCTGTTGAGACATGATCATCTTCTACTTTTTTTTTATGAATATAATCAAATATAATGCCTTTCAATTATTATTCCCCACATGTCCCTTCCAACATTATTCCTTATGGATAATCTCTATGACACACACAGTGGATAGCTTCTAATGGGTCGTTTGGTTGGATTAAATGTAAGAGGATTACATATAATCCTGATGCAATTCTCATCAACAAACTGTTTGGTTGACATTTTACTTGTAAAAGTCATTACATAATGATCCCAATTACATTAGATGTGGTAATAGGGATTACATCAAAAAACCTACGTAATCCCCATTCCCATCCACCAATTTACTCAAATATCCCTCTCTTCTTCTTCACCCTCCTTCCACCTTTGAACTCGCCTCCCTCCTCCCTTGCCGCCACCATCCCTCCATTCTCAGCATCGCGCATCAGCTCCTCTATCAGTCCACCCATATTTAGCCTCCTTCGAGCAGACGAGAATGAGAACAACGATGAAGCTTCAGCCTTCAGGGGATTCCGTCAAGGATGCGAGAACGGCACTAGCAGTCGTGAAAGACAAATCATTCTGTTGAGAATTCCTTCAACTCATTTTCACTACTGCCGTGTCGAAGACAGATCATCTGTCTAAAGCCGATCATGACGCCACCAGTATGAAGCCTACCTTGCCGCCGCCCTCTCACACCACCATTCTCATATCCCATCTCCTCATCCACATCTTCCTCCATTCCTCGTTATCTTTGGTTTTATTTTTCAGATGGTTGGTTTTTTGGCTTGATTATGTTGATTTGTGTGGTTTGTACTGGCATAAGGGGTTGATTTTCCAGATTGAGCGTGATGTTGCCGAAGAGCCATCACTGGGAAAGGGAGGAAGATGAGTGGGAATTTTTTTTTTTTTTTGTGGTTTGGGGTAAAACGGACATTTCATGATTCTTTTGTTATTTTTTTCTTAGAAAAATTGTATTTATCTTATAACATACCAAACAAACACATGTAATTATCATTACATAATATTTCATTCTCTATTTTTAAATTACATTACATTTTCTCTGATTCAATGAACCAAACAGGCCATAATTTTTTCAATTTTTCCATAGCACTCTAGCATTCTTCTTATTTAAATTATAAGTAAAAGTTAACTGATTTCACAATTTCTAAAAGGTGATAGTATACGTGACTCTTAAATTTTATATTTTATTGAAATTAATGACCATAATGAAAGGCTGTTTGGAAATTACAAAAGCATGTCCCAACAACTTCTTGTAGTTAAGGAGGGCTAATGTTCTAAAAAGTTTATCTATCAGTCTGTCACATCGTTAATCTATGTTTAAGATCAAATAGAGTTTTAAAAATTTGCTCTGTATTTATGATCGGAGGGAGTGGTTATTATACATTTATGACCTTTAAAATTCATGTGGACTTTGTAATATACGCTTTTTAATCCCTTTGCAAAACTTGTGGCTGAACGAATTGGTAACACTAAATATGTTTTTGGAATCAAGACATATTTTGGCATAAAAAAAGAATCAAGGCACACTCAATGGTTCCCACTTCTTTTAACTTTTTCACCTCAACTTTCAAAGGGGGCAAAAACATATGTGAACATTGAGGCTGCCTATGACACTTAATTAATATTTCCTTGATCTCAATTTATAAAACAATTTTTTAATAAAATTATATATATCAATAAAGTTTATTAAATATAATTTACAATTTTAATCTTTCTATATTGTAATAACAAGTGAAATAACGAGGGTTCATATTATAATAGTCATCATTAATGAAACTTTATCTTTTTCAAATTGTCTTATATTTTAACTAGGGCTATACAAAGGATTGGACGATACTAGATTTCAACCTAACCCAAAGTCTAATCTTTTTCTTAAGAAAGACTAGGTTAGGAAACCTATAATTCGGTTTTATCCAGTGATAACCTGAAAATTAATAAGACTGGACTTGGTCTATAAAACTATAAGATTGATCCTATTAGTCCAGTATTTACTTAACTATTTTTTTTCCTTTTCCTTTATGAGAGATGATAATCCATTTCAACCAAATAAATCCAATTAAGATAATAAAACACTTATAATCATAATAAATCTATAATAATTTCCAACAATAAGAAAAAAATATTTCAATTACAAGCTAAATAATTTAAATTTATAACTTTAACAAAAACAATAATCAACAAACTTAAACAACACTTCATTGCAACAATAATTTATAAAAAAATTCAATAAATCTTCATACATTCATCTTCTTAATGTCAATTATACTTGAAGCATTTTTTAAAAATAAATTAATTATAATTATATTAAATAAATTAATAGGACAGAACTAGACCAAGTGATTTAAATGTCCAGTGTCCTGTCCAGTTTAACTTGACAAAATAGTCTAATCTTTTCAGTTTTTTTAATCTTAAAGGACCAATGTTTATACAGAACGGACAGGACAAGACTATCTTGGGTCAAATTGGGTCAAATTGGACCGGAAGACTTTTGTACAATTCTAATTTTAAGACACCAAGTCATTTCAAAAAATGTCTTATAAATTAAGATAAATGGAATATAAAATATAATAATTTAATTTTTAACATAAATAAATATTCCAAATTCCAAATCTTCAAAGTTGCATCAGAAGCTTTGATGTATCTGTGGGGTTTGGTGATTGGGACACTTGGGAAGAAAGCAATTAGGTGTAGAAGATAGGGCATGAAATTATTGAATTGAGAAATGCTCATCCCATTATTATTGTGTGGCCAATGCAGAAAATTTGATGAGATGGGGTTGATTCCGTGCTTGGCTTGATTAACGCATTAACCTACTTAAATTCTATCACATCAAAATTGAACATCATTTTTTTTTTTGAGACATAACCAGATTAGCCGCTAAAGTTAAACCAATTGTTAAGAGTCTTTATTTTGTTTCCAAGCTCAGTGGCTTCTCATGTCAAGTTTTTGCTTAGAAAGTGACTGCTTGCTTCCATATATGTAGTAAAATTCATTTAATTATAACTAAATACATTTTTCAGTGAATTATATGGAGAAAGATAAGAGCATAATATTATTCCTGACTTGTGAACAATGAGACTTGTTATAAATTCTAGTATTTATATTAATTTATGCTTTGTTATTGTAATATTGGTGGAAATATTGATATTTTAATGGGAAATTATTTTCCTCTTCTTTGACAAATTTCTTAGAGAGAACTATCTTTCATTACATACATAGTTTCACATATCCTCTCCATTTAAATTCTTGATTACTAGATCAAACTCAAATGCCCATACCAGTCCTCTTTCACTTTTTATGTCAAAATTTAGATGGAAATGTGTATTATGCTACATTAATTATAGAATTTTGCCTGCATTAATTGAGTTTGGCACCTCAAGGTTACATTGGATTTTAATTAATTTTGGTTAAGTCAAAAAGCACCACAAGAGTGACAAAACTCTCCCAATTAATATTTAACACAGCTTTATATTCGGGATTCAAATTCAAAACTAATAATTAAGATAACACAGTCTCTTATTATATGAGTAACATTTATGGTGTCCATTTTCTCTTTAAAATTAAAGAAAGTTATTACATGTAAGGTATGTAATTTTTGAATAAGAGAAGTTGATGAAATTTTGAAAATGGTTGCTTGTGGAGGAAATTATGGCAGAGTAGAGCTATGAGATGGACATAATGGGAACATATATGGCCATGTCGAAGTACACATAGATGTAGGGATTGACTAATAAGAAAAGTGTTGAGTTGATGAGAATCTATTATGATGATTGATGAGAGTATTTTGTGGGACAAGCTCCACCCCCTTCTGTCTGATTTTGTTCTCCTCAGGATCTTCTCTAATAATACCGCCCCAAAAGCAATTAAATTGGCTTTTTTATGGATTCTTCACTAAATATCACCCTTTTTTTTTTTTCAAAAAAAGAAAAATTATCACACCACTGCTTATATTTCACACCACTTTCATTATCTGGGCTATCCCTATTTTCATTTTATATTTTTGGGCCATCATCCATGTCACCTCAAATAATCTGTTCAAATTAAAATTGTCGTGAAAAAGTGATAGTGACACATTTTTTCGTACATTGATATTTCATTTAAATTTAGATCATCCATGGAAAATATGAACTTAATAATTTTGATATTTATAAATGTGTGTGTGTGTGTGTGTGAAGAGAATAAGGTGCTCCCATCAGACACATGGTGGTGTTTTCCAATCTGGGGAAGATAATGGATGTCAGCAACAAGGAGAATTGAGTCAAGGAATTGCGTTTGGTCAAGGATGGTGGGGATATAATGTTTCTTTTATTCAGCTCATATATCCTCTTATATACTTTTATAGTTTTATTTATAACTTTCTTTTAATATATTTTATTAAAATTAAAATTTTTAAAAAATTATTAACTTTCTCTAAATATTTAATAATTTTTTAATTTTATTTCTATTAAAATTTTTTTACTTTTATTAAGTATACATATTTTAAGAATATATTTTTTCTTTTTAATATTCAATAGAGGTTAAATAAAAAAATTATAATAAAAATTTAATGAAATGATTTATAAATAGGGCAAACAAAATCTTCTCTCTCTTTTTTTATAAATAATATTCTCTCTAGTCCTATTTATAGGATAGAAAGAAGGATTTTTTTGATCCTATTTACAAGCTACGTCATTAAATTCTCATAACAATTTTTTTTATTTTTTATTGAATATTAGAGAGAGAAAATATGTTATTGAAGTATGTATATTTAATAGAAATAAAAGTTAATAATTTATTAAATTTTAAGATAGAGTTAATAAATTTTAAAATTTTTTTAATATTGATAAAATATGTTGATAGTAATTTATATATAAAATTAAAAGAGTATAGGACAGAGTAAGAGGTAATTTTATTCCAAAAATATGATTGTAAACTAAATGTAAATGTGAACACTTTTGTTAAGGTCAGCACGAGAGACTGCTCTCTCTCTCTCTCTCTCTCTCTCATGCTTGTTCTAATTCATGTTGACAAATGAGAGAGATAATATGAATGGCTTTGAAGAGAAGAAGGGGTAAAAACCAGTTTAATAATTAATCTCACTCAAAGGAATTATGACCATCATACTAAATATCATATATTTATATTTTAAAAAAAACACAAAAAAAGGGGGAGGTGGGGCCAGAGGAAAGAAGCATAAAATCTGAGGAAATCTGAGAGTCCAGCTAAGAGATGTTGACACTAAATGCAACGTGTCCTCCTCTTTTCTTTTCTGGGACGTGACCCCCCCAACTCTTTCTCTTCTCTTCTCTTCCCTGTCTCAATCTAAACCCCTCCATTTTTGTTTTTTGTTTTTGTTAAGAAAATTTGTTCATCTTTTTTTGCTTTGGTTCAAAATAAAAGTAGAAGGAGTGTTATTTTTTTAATAGTTCCGTGTAAATAAAATTTTGAAATTAAAAAAATGGTAATTTACTCCCAGAAAATGTAATGAATCATATTATCTATGCAATGCATTATAAACAGAGTGAACTCTATTTTGAATTACATTTTATTTGAAATATAAATATTTTTTTATAAATTCTAGAAAGAAAAGGGAAAAATGGAAAAGAAAGGAAGAAAATGATGGGACCCAAATAACAAATTAGTATTCATCGATATGCCTCAAAACTCAAGGGGGTCCCAAACTAAAGAGCTTGGTCATCAAATTTTATGTCCGTCTTCTAGTTGGACATGCGACACCTGTGTCCGTCATTTTTGCAAAAATGGGCCAAAAACACAGTGATATATTATTTTAACTGAAACTAAAAATTTTAAATCTCCACTACATTTTGATTAAAAAATTAAATTTTGTGAACAATTTTAAAGCCACGCCCTCTAAAGTCTCATCATTTTGATGTCGTTATTTTTTTTTTGGCAACTTGCAAACTAAGTATTTATACGTATAAATAAAAGTCGCTATAATTATACTGTACTTATAATTTACATCAAACTTCTTGCCATGCATAAAAAAATTGTATAATAAGAATAGTTCTCGTACACTAAAGTTAAATCCAGTATTATGTTTGTATTTTCTTATTTAATAATAATAATAATATATGCAGATAATATATGTAAAGTTCTAAATTTGAATATCACTCTTTTTGCCCATAGTAATTTAATTAAAAGATATTTATTATTTGTTCTCAATACTTTGAGACAGACAGTGAAACATATTCCTTGCGTCAAGAAAATAGGATTTTTTCAGTCAATTCCCTAAACGCAACATAATTTTAGCCAAAATTTACAAAACTCTAAAATTTCATTTTACATTTGCAGCGATTGAAATAAAATCAAAGAACAAACTTAAAATGATCTTATTGTTATTGCCTCCGTGGTGAAACAAGATATAGGAATAGCCCATATAGAAAAGATGAGATGAAAGAAGAGTTACAAATTCATAATATTAATATATTATTAATGAGTATATATTTTATTTGCATCAATTATTTATTTCTCATCCATCAATTGTTCATGCTTTAACTTTATCAAGAAGAATAAGATCATTTGTATTATCTCTTTAATTTTATTTCAGCCACTCAATTATTTAAAAAGTTAACTGAAATTATGTTGAGTGAGAGGTTTTGCTGAATTTTCTTTTTTTTTTTTGAAACAAAAAAAGATGTACGTGTATATATCTATATATATATATATTTTGGGCCATGCATAGTTACAGCTTCATGTACCTGAAAAGTAGTGTACATAAGATGATGCTGGCGGTGTGTTCAGGAGCAGAATACTTGCTTCTGTTTTCTTGCCTGCTGTCCTACGGCCCCGCGCCATGATAATTTCCCAAATTACTCCCCAAAATAATTTATGTTGTTTATTTCTTTCCATATATTAAAAGAAAAGGTTGGATGTCTTCGTCGTTGTCATGGCCACAGCCTTTTCCACTAAAAAAATCAAAGTTTCCGATGATTTATCTCACCCTCAAATGATGTACAGGCCTCAATTTTAGAAAATCTTGAAAAGACTCCCAGAAAAATGGGGAGGCACGGAGATATTAAGAGTTACTAGTTTTTTCCCTCGAGCGCTTTTCATTTTACGACTTGATACTTTGAAATTAACCGGAGAAGCACAAGATATTTAGCAACTGGGAAAAAAGACATCAAATGTTAAAACCCAGATTTTGCTTCAAAAAATCAGACACAGTGCAAGAGAAAATCCAATCATATAGAGCTCAAATATATATATATATATATAGACAAATAAAAGCGTGTCAACCGCTGATTTTGAAGGCTTTGTTGACACTGCGATTTTCACTAACCTACAATTTCCTGTAATCATTTGCTCATTTTTCCAAATGTTACAATTCTGAAATTTCTTATCTCACTTCCATTCTCCTTCACCTTCTCGTCACAATTCTTTCTGATCTCTCTCCCTTCATGCTTTGGTTTCCAAATGGGTTTCTTAAGTTCGGTTTTTCGTTATCCTCCGTTTGATCTGTTTTTAATTATTGTTCCCATCGTCGCCTGGTTTCTCTCTCCTCAAATCCACCACCACCACGCTCACATTGTCCGTGCTATGCCGGGCCAGAGCTAGCTTAGTCAGCAAGATGGATGCGTCCGAGCAAGCCTTGTCCGAACCATCCACGGCGGAGTACACCGCCACGTCGCTTCCCGGCGATCTTGGAGGCGACGGCGGTTTCTGCACCTTCAGGCACATCCGTACGACCCCGCATGCGGTGTCGTTTGATACCACGTCCCACAGCCCGTCACTGGCAAGTATCAAACACTCGTCCTCGTCTGTCCGCTCCGTCACCGTCACCTCCGGCTCCGATATCACGTACGGTTTTAGATAATTATCGCCTGCACATAAGAGCGTTTAGTTAATTGGGATTTCAAGTTCAGATATACTAAAATGCAACGATTTTTGCGATTGGGTGCCAACGAGTAATCTCGCTCACCTATGGCTCTGGACATTGCCAAGACTCCGAGAACCCTAGGACCGTCCCAGTAAATGACCCGTCCTCCAGCGGCTTGAACTCGGAGCAACTCGTCGGGTCGGTCGGGCTGCAAAAACGGAAATCAGCGAAATCAGCACGCGCGATTCTAAGAAAGCGTGACGGAAGGAACGAGGCACCATCAAATCAAATGATTTGCGCGTGCCGCGACGCGCCAACGAATCGGTTTGCAATAACACAGTTCCAAGTTTCCGAATCCCAGCGCGTCACCGGGAATTTGAATATCATACAAGAATCCAAAGATTAACCTTTCTTTTATTTCCGTTTAAATACTGGCAAGATTAAAACCCACCTTGTGATCGGACGAGAGGGGGATGGCGACGCCGTTTCGGCAGAGAACGGCGCGGGAGTCGCCGCAGTTGGAGACGATGACCTTATCCGGCGTAACAACGGCAACAACCGCGGTAGATCCAACAGCGTCGCAGTGAGGTGTCTGAAGCTCGCACCTGCAGGTGGAGTTCTGGTTGCTCTGGCTCCAGTTCTGCACCTCCTCGTCCATCCGAGCGAAACTCTGTTCCATCGTAGACTTCCATTCCAAATCCTCTCGCGCTCCACCGACCTCTTCCTTCACAATATCATGCAACCTATCCTTACAGATCGTCGCAACCTGTTCGAACAAACGAAACCAAACTAAGAACCAGAAGAACCAGATGGATCGACTACTAAAACAATTAAGAGCCAGTCAATTTCGACGGAAAAAGTATTTACATGAGAGCAACCATGGCCGTCGAACACACCGAAGTAGTGAAGCTCATTCCGATTTTGACCCTGTTCTTGGCAGAACGAAGGACGAACTGAAACCGCATCTTCCATGTCCCTCCTCCTACCACAAACCGATGTAACCCCAAACTTTGGACACTCGTTAATACTCTCATTATCACACTCTTTTGTAGCACTTGAATTTAACGAAGAAACCCTCGACGGAGCTTCGTCCCCTTTGTGTTCCTCCTCGTTCTGTTCTTCTTCCTTCTCAACACCGCTAGATTTACAATTCTCCACCGCGTTTACGCAGTCTCTTGGTTGCGTCTGAGAACTAGCAGAGAGATCCAGCTTCTGGCGCTTCAAGCTAGTCTCGGGCAGCGGCACGGCCATGTCAGCCATGAGTTTTAAAGGCACTATATCCAACCTCCGGCGCCGAGAGGGTCGGCCCGGCTCAATTGGAGTTGGGGTCTCACCTTCTCCAACAACACCGCAGCATATCCCAGCCATCCCAAAACACGCCAAATAGACCAAGCAACAAGGGGGGGAAAAACCCACACAAAATTCCGAGCTCAAAATAATAAGATCTTCAAGGATTAATCAAAAGCAGAAACAGAAGTAGGAGTAGAATTGAAAAGCCGAAAGGGCCACAGAGAACTGAGAGAGAAGGAGATCCGTTGAGAGCTGGATGGAAAGACCCATTGAAATGGGCGGGGCAGAAGCTTTTCTAGGGAGAGGGGGGAGGGCTAGCAAATTCACCTGGGGGCCACATTTCATCACGGGCAGGCTGCCCGTCACCGTCACGGGCATGATCCGACAGATACAGTTGGTATGACGTCGAACGATTGAATACCAAGACGCAATCTGCACCGTCCGTGGCATCACAAGCTGATCAAAATTCAACCACGTGTAGTGCTTTTTCGTTTTTGGGGTACGTGGCCCAATCATTTCGCACCACGCTTGATTGAAATGTTCTTCCTTTTCTGACACGCATGTGGTCCTCAAGACTACCCCGCCTCTCTCACTCCCCACAATCGTTTCACTCCCTCCCCCCACCCCTTCTCTCTCTCTCTCTCTCTCTCTCTCTCTCGCTCGCAATTTTCCCTCCTTTTTTCCCGTTTTCTTTCTTTTTTTTTTTCTTTTAAAGGTCTCTTATGACACTCGTCCGAAAATGTCACCACGTGGCACGATCGTCAAATACGAGATTCCTGTTTGATTCTGGTCTCCACGTTCACTTCCGTGGATGGACAGAACACGCGCCTTCAGAATTCCTTTCCCCCCCGGTTACCCGTTCTGTTGACATTTTAAAACTTTTGTATTTGAGAGTAATTGCGTGGTTTCTTGTTGAGAGATTTTGTTATGGATATTCGTTAGTAATATGATTTGATGACCTTAAGAGAATAAGAATAAATTAAAAAGGACGAGAAACACAGTAGTGGTTACTGGTTACTTTTCTCAATATAATGGCTTTAATGTTCTCTCCTAGGTGGGTTGATAAATCAACATCTTATATCTCTATTCGATCTTCTAAGAAATGGGATCCCTGTGTTGGTATTGTTCGTTTTGTTCCTTTTTTTGTGCTCAGATTGTCTTTATATTATTATTATTATTATTATTAGTGGTTATTGCCTTCAGTTTTTAAAAAAAAAATCCATTGTTTGTGTCCATTTTTCCTGGTTTTGTTTTTGGATTTTTTAAAATGACAAAATTTAAACAAGTTGAATTTCAAGATTAATCATAACCATAAAATATTTTTTGCTTATACTTTTTGTTTGTGTGTGTCGTTCATGTTTAATCTTCTTTAGTATGAATTATGACATGAAATTTATCAAGCAAAGCAGGATAAACAAGGTCCCCGGGGGGGAGAAGAAGAAGAAAGCTATTGATTTACCAGAAAAAGCGAAAATAAATGCAATCATGTAAAAAATAAATAAAAATATTTATATCAGATCTTTAAAAACGTGTTATTGGCAATATTTTGAATTTCAATTGAATTTTTTTTTGTCTAACTTCCATGTTTATCATCATTCTGTTAAAGAAATTCATTCAATTAAAATAAATAATTTCCAACAATTTAAATTCAATTTAGCTGATTTTTTTCAAATATTTTAATTTTAATAATCGTTTAATCTCGAAAGAATCAAAACGTAGAATAATGCTCCTTCGTTTTCAATTATATAAACCTTTTTGCAACTCCGAGCGATTCCTTTTTATGAGACATTTTCTCAAACTGTCCATTGTGTTTATTATTATTTTTTTGAAAAAAAATGCATATTAATAAAGATGTCTTCACATTAATTAATTAGGAAAAAAAGAGAACGAGCTCAATTTATATCTATTGAGAAATTTATTACTTTTAACTAAATAATTATATCTCTCAATCTTTTGAGAGTTGCTTCAAGGTGGAGGGAGCATTAATTTTTTAACTATGAAATGAAAATAATTTTTTATACCGTAAAATAAAATTTTTATTTAAAAAATCTTGATTTTATTATTTTAAGTTGCTTTGTATTTCATTTCCCACCTCCCATGTGAGTCATATAGAGTTGCTAGGGCTGTGCAAAAGTCTCCCAGTCCTGTCTGGTCCAGTCCAACCCGAGATGGTCTCAGTCTTGTTCGGTCTGTATAGTCACTGGTCCTTCAGGACCAAAAGGACTAAAAAGACCAGACTATTTTTTCGGGTTGGACTGGACAAGAGACCAGGCATCCGGACCACTTGGTCCAGTCCAGTCCTATTAATTTTTTTTATTATAATTATAATTAATTTATTTTTGACAAATGTTTAAAGTGTAATTGATGCTAAGGAGATGATTGCATAAAGATTTATTAAGTTTGTTTCTAAATTGTTATTGTAATATAGTGTTGTTGAATTTTTTGAGTACTGTTTTTATTAAAGTTTATAAATTTAAATAATTTAGACTATAACAAAAATATTTTTTTTCTTATTGTTAGAAATTATTATGGATTTATTATTATTATAAGTATTTTTACTATCTTAATTGAGTTTATTATGTTGGAATATATTATTGACTCTCATAGAATAAAAAGAGGGAAAAAAAGCTGAGTGAGTACTGGACTGACAGGACCAGTCTCCCAGTCCTATGGACCAAGTCCGGTCCTGTTAATCTTCGGGTTATCACTGGACAAGACTGGACTACGGGTTACCTAACCCAGTCTTTTTCATAAAAGAGACCGGACTTCGGGTTAGGGTGAAGTCCAGTGCTGTCCAGTCCTTTGTGCAGCCCTAAGAGTTGCTAGTCCCATTCGCAGGGATCATGAAAAAATTGAGGATGCATTTGATGGAGGCTACCCTGACACGTGCCCTTCCTCTCTCAACACCTGTACTTTATTTATATTTATATTTATAATTTAAAAAACAAAAACAGAGAAAAGAGGAGCGTGAACAGAGGGAGCGCGTGGAAGTTGGAAACCAGACTGGTGAGAGAGGGTTCGCTTTATTCCGCCCGTTCCAGTTGTCCAATGAAAGCGATCGTCGTAACAAGCGAGATTTGGACACGTGTGGGACCGCATGTCAAAACCGATTGACGCTTGCAGAATATCTGAGCTCCCCATTACTGCTTCCCCGACACGTGGCCACTATCTACGTGGAGCCGAAAGCGTTCGTGTTACCTCCCCGCCAAACCCACCCCACCCCCGCGACCCCTCTTTTGCAATTTCCATATATTTTTGTCGTCCGGCTGTAAATAATAATAAACCACTCCAATTATTATAATCCCGAAATAGCCCCCCACATTTCTCTGATTTCCTCGCCCCCTGACACCTGTCCCCGTAATTAACACACCTAACTCCACGTAATCACATTCCTATATCGCCCGCCCCGCCTCCCTCTTAATTATTTAATTAGCGTTAACGAACGTAACTTATGCCATAATTATAAATTATTAGTCACCAGTGAACCACATGGGGTCATGCCACTCGACGGCTCTTACATACCCTCAACGTGAAAATAGAAAACAATCATAATCACCGGCCACTTGGATCAACTGATTAGAAACTCATTCTCATTTAATGAAAAAATCTTGAGTTGGAGTCCTATATATGCCTGAAGAGATGCATGTAAGTTCTCAACTAGATTAAAAACTTCGAATAGCAGAACGATAAAGGAAAAAAACCATCGCCAATAACTTATCAGTTTGTAAAGCTAAATAATAGTTCTTTAATTCAGTGTGTGTGTGTGTGTACGTGGATTGTGGAAGGTCTTGCCATTGTTTTAATTAATTAAGGGAATAGAATAGTTCGATTCATATTTCGATCTCGGGGAAGGCATGCCATGTGTGAGTGATCGTCTCACTAAAATATCTACCTGATTTAAAATATATATATTTGATGATTAATAATGAGTTGATTTTTCACATCGTTTTCCGATATGACAAGGCATCGGTGTCATTTCTATTTTAATTGAAAGTGAAATTAAATGTGTGGCGAGACTAATCATTCCTAAAAAGTGATATGCATAAATAATTAAATAAATCGTGGGTTGAAATTAATAGCGACAAATTTTGGTTTATGAACCACACATTAACAAATATTAGTATTTTAATCAATCTTGATGGGGGGAAATCATTTCTTTTTCTCCAAAAGAAAGGATGTGGTATTGTCCTGGTCAACGAAAATTTTGATGGGTTGGAAATTTTTTTGCCAAAGAAGCAGATATATTCATTAGCTTTAAGAAGCTAAATCAATCTGATACAGTAGCAGCAACATAGAAACGAACCAATCAAGGAAAAACACAAAGCATAAAGCAACAGAATGAAAAACAAAACAAAGGGATAGATCATGACGCAATATCTCATCTAAACAGGGTGAGTAAAGATGGGAACTGCCAGGCGCAGAAGCCGAATTCGAAAACACATGCTTTATAAATCGTATCTTGATGAGTAATTCAATGACTCACCGGATCAACTTGCTAAGTGATTGCCTCTAAGATTAAAAACGTTATTCACAATGGTTAAGCAGCCCCTCATAGAGAGACACTCATAAAGACGGAGAGAAGAGGTAAGCTCCAGCCACGAGTTAGGGTCTGTTTGGTTTGAGGGAGGAGGAGGGAGAGGGGGAGGGGAGGGGAGTTTCCCCCCAATTTAAAAGGGAGGCTTTGGAGGGGAGGGGAGGGGAGGCCTCTCCCCTCCCGCCCAACCAAACGGAGTCTTAAGGTCTACAAATATTTGAGATTTTTTTTTCAAAGAGCTTCTTACATCATTGAACCAACAATATACAGTATTAGTTTATGGGTATGAATCCATTAATTTTATATTAAAAAAATTAACCTTCTTAAGTCCATTACAATAGCTCGGCGGTCAGACGTTAACTGTTATTAAAATTTAACGGTCAACATTGCATAATTTTAACATATTGGGGAATGTTAGTATTTTTTTATAAATTTAATGGGTATTCATGTATTATTATTAACTTAAAAATACTAGAAGCTCTTATATGAACTTTTTTTGAGTATTTTACACATTTCCCTTTTATTTATCTTACATGTGATGGGTTGGATACTTGGATTTGAAGAATCATTAAAAATGAAATAAAAAAGTGAAACTTATCATACATGTCATTATATATCTTCTAATTGATCCGTGTTTAAAATATACTAGTACTAATACTGTTGGTGCGTAAAAAATATTAATTAATTATACGTATAAAAATATGTTTACAAATTAGTGTTCCGTAAGGTGCGGG